CTTTAAATTAAAAAAAAAATGAATTTCTTAAAAATGCATATTTTAATATTAGATAAATACATCATATAACTGCAATTATTCACGCATAAATAGTAAATATTTTAGACTTATACAGATACTAACATGAGTCTAATGAAATTTGTAAATTAAATACTAATTTACTTATATTAAAATATTTCTAAACGATTTATTTGTATTAATGAATACGCAACAAATACATTTCTGCATAAATTAATAAAATTATAAATATAATAATATTCAATTGAAGTTGTTTACAAATAGCATACTTTTAATTAATTTGTAAATAGACACATTTTTGTAATGGAAAATATAATAGTTTAATAAATAATATTAAGATCAATTATTTCAGCATTTTCAAACATTCAAAATTCTAAGTATATCTCGTATATTAATCCCAAAAGGCGAGTTCTGAGTATTTTGTATTTTATATTATGATTAGTTTTTATACAATTATAATCGATTAATCGATGATCTTATACAGAATTAAGTTTGTTAAATTATGAACTAAAATAGCTAGTAAAGAAATTATTATCAAACAAAATTAAATTTACACGACATAAGGGGGAGGGGCTAAGTTAAAAGCAAACTTTTCGCACTCTCCAATTAAACCTGTCAACAAAGATAGAGAAGAAAAGTGAGTCACAAAAGAACTAAGCTATTTGCATGATATTTGACGGTGCAGATGTCGCAATACAATTAGACACTAATAACATGAATTAACGGATGAATGAAAAAAAATAGCTCAATTATTATTTAATACACATAAATTACAGCTATAACAATTTTTAATCGATACAAAATAAGATAAATGAAAAATTTCCACTAGACATGTTATCGTTCAATCAAAGCTACAGAAATCAAAATAATGAATAAAATATTAGCATTACTTTAGAAAAGTAATATAAAATTCGTAATAATAGGTATTTTATAATTAAAGCATAAGATTTAATCTTTACATAATAAATATTATCATAGAGATTTGTTTCCCATTATTTTTAATTTTGTTATTTGTTTAAAATTTAAACAAACCAAAAGTCTATTTTTGTACGAAAATAATTATTGGGAATGCATAAGTCATTATAAATAAACCCATACTATTGAGAAAAGCGTCAGTGGCTGATAAGGGGTAATAAAGAGGTTGATAAAGAGTAATCAGAATGATTTAAGAAAAAACCAAACGTTAAGATTTTAACTGATAAAATTAAACTAAAGTTGGTGATAATAAAAATAAATAATCTCAATTAAAATAATTTATAAATTAAACTAAAAATATCTTCATTTCGTAAGCATTAAGTGACAAAATAAAATATACTGAGTATTCAGTAAAACTATTAAAAGATTAACACTATGAACAAGAAACCAAAAAAATAATCGTTGAATCTAAAACGCTGAAATTTTACACCTACATTTTGATTTTATAATAATAATTTTACACCAAATAAACTCTAGATTTTAACTGGAAGTTATATGAAATAAAAAAACTGCTATTCCAAATATGTTTTATCAAATATAATATTTAAATAAATTTAGTACAATAATAGTAACTATATTATTATTAAACATAATAATCTTAGGAAAAAACAATTATTTTTTCTATTAATTATAATTAGGCTTAGGGACTTATAGTTCTAAAAAATACACAAATATGCATACAAATATGTTTCTAAAATCATTAAAATATTCATTATAATATGCATTTATATGCATTAAAAAAAAAAAAAAAAATTACCACATAGTACACAAAATAAAACATGTCAATCGGATGTAAATGTATCTTTAAACTCCGAAACAAAACTTTGTAGTTGGCTACTCATAGATTGTTGTACTTTCGGCATTATCCAATGTTATAAAATATACGTATACAACGATTTACGTAAGGCTAGGTTTATTAGCGAGCGACGGGCAACAGCGAAGAGCGATTGGCGATGCGCGATGAGCGACTAAAGTATTCCATCTAGTCAAGATACAGTAAAGCGATGTTGTTGATTTTTATGTAAAATATTTTATCAAACAAAATTAATTTCTCATTTGCCAATAAGTTATGTATTCGAATAAAAAACAAACAAAAAAATACAAGTATGTAGCTGTATTTTGCAATCTTTTATCTATATATTTTATAAAATACTTAGCAGAAATCTACTACTAACTAGTTAAATACTTACCCGTTAAACCACAAATTGCACCCACTTCATCCCATATTTTTTTTTGTTTTTTCGGTATTTTTATAATCTTTGTGTCTTTATAATCATTCCACAAAATCGGTTTTAATTGAACTTCGGAAATTAGTATTTCTCTTTGCTCAGAAGTAAATTTATTATGTTGACTCATAATTTATTTTAATAATTATAATAAAATTAAATTAATTTAAAATTAGTTAAAACAAGAGAACTTTTCCACGTTTGAAAATAAAGTATATATCGCTATAAAATTATGACCAAATATTAAACATGATTAATGTTAATCGCTTCGCTCGAGAATCGCCGGTCGCTGTCGCCAACCGCTTAAGACCAATATAAATACTTCCATTTGAAATTAAGCGTTTAATATATTTTAGGAAATTTCTAGTCGCTCGTCGCTGTCGCCCGTCGCTCGCCAATGTGAACCCGGCCTGATTCGACGTTGTGAAACGCTAAAACAACGACGGATAATAATCGACTGAAAAGAATACTAAACATATAATCTATTATTCTATATCGACTATTATCTTTATCGACATCTGGTCGATACGGATCTATAATATTATTTATACTTACACAAAAATTATAACGTGATATGAGGGGTAGTTGGCAGATAGCATATTACTGGAAATATTAAGTCTTCTTAGTACATTTTTTTTCGATCGGTTGAAATATGTATATATATTATATATATCTATAGTTTTTAATTTTAAATAATAACATTTGAAAAATTTGTAAAAATATGCAAAATAAGCATAAACATTTTAAAATATGCACTCTCCTACAAAATCTATCAAGTATGCAAAAATATGCACATTTAAATTATAGATCTTATATCATGGCACCGAGAAACAAATTTATTTCGCACTCAGCTATATTTAACAATAATTAAAAAAAATTATGCAAATGCTAGAAGTTCCTAAGCCTAATTATAATAATAATTTACCTTGTAATGTACTTAATAGAATAAAATAAAATTTGTAATACTATTTTTCATTATTTATTTTATTTAATAATCAGAATAATATTATTAAATATACATATATATCCTTCGATAGTAATTTAATTAAAACGGAATATCTAATCAATAAGTATAATTTACAAAAGTATATTTAGTATATTACACTATATAAAAGCTTGATTAAAATAAAACCAGTAAATTATTAAAACAAAATTGAAATAAAAATTAATCGAAATCAATATCTTAAAAAATTTTTTCTCTAAAATTCAAATATTTTTTCATTTTTTTTTTTTTTTTATTATAATTATTCAATTACATCTGATGATAATACAGCTTAACAATTGTATCGTAGTGATTAATATATCATACACGGTTAAAATATTTCTATTATTTACCATTACAATCTACTTTGAAAATAACATTTTTATAAACTAAATAAATTCATAATAACAATTACCATCACAATTATGTATGTATCAGTACTTAAAATAATATGCTAAATTATTTTTTATGCTTTTGAGTATTTATAGTAAGTATCTAATTTGAATGCTAAAAAAAATGTAAAAATAACTCCCATCAAACAATTCCTAATAAAATTATAATGCCAAATCAATACAGTAACTATTAATATACTACTAGTTATAAGAAAAACATTATGAATTTTACGTATTCAACTTTTTGTATTGGTCCAACACTGCTAATCCATAAGTAAGAAACTTAAAAAAATGTTAAAATTACTTTTCTAATCAATATTTTGTTTAGAATATTGTGCTAAAATAAATAATTTCTATGGTAAAATTAAAAATATGCTGCTGAAAAATATACTATTGACAAATACAAAACCTACTTAAATTGGATTACTATTTTCAAGTAAATAAAATAATTTAATTAAATCATATTTTATTAACTTGAAAATAATTTATTTATTTATTTAATTAATTTTAAGTTAATTAAATCATAAAACAAGTAATACTATACATACACTGACTACTTGTATTAATGGTTTAAAAGTATGAAATCTAATGACATTAGATAAGTAATAAGGTAATAAGTAGATATATTTTATTTTTAACATCCTAAAAACAAATTCTTATTTTTATAATTTTATTTTGATCAAAAACTATTTCTATAGAGATTTTACAAGTGCAATGCCAATCATATATAAGAGCAATTATTTTAATTCAAATATTTCAAGTACTTATTTTGAGTTAAAACCTACTAATCTTGTTACTAATGTATTCTATACTTTTATATTAGTATTATTTATGAATAAAAATTTTTTAGAATAAAATATCTAATTTTGTTTTTAGTAAATTAGTGAATAAATAGGGAAATATTACATCACCAATAATTAAATTCATTATTTAATCATTAATATACCAACAAATTGTTGAAAATTTGAATTGCTGTCTATTAAGAGTTAAACAAACACAGCATTCTTAATTATCTCTTATGAATCTAAACCGAGGATACAAGATATATAAATTACTTAAAAAAAAAATTCTTCTAAAAGTGAAGTAGGTATTAAACTGTCAAAAACTCAAAGGAACAAAATTCAAATAGTATAATATTTTCATATATCTAACCTGACAAAATTAAAATGAAAAACTCATTTTTGAAATTAATATTATATGTCCATAACACAGACAGTATTGGACCAGATAAAACATTTTCCTATAACTATGCTAACTGGACATTATTTAAATAAGACAATAAAATGTTTATTTTGAAAACAATACTGTACTGACTGTATTAGGTATAACTTGAAACATGAGAGCTTATAAAAACCTTACTACTGAATTAACTATTGAACAATAGGAAAACACAAGGATAATTCTTACCTGAGTGGTATAGGGCTGAGAACTGAGCCGTATCCCATCTTGCAGTAACTTGTCTCTAAGCAACAATTTCAGCTGAAGTTTGGGTATTCTGACTAATTCCGCCTTGCCTTCTTCGTACTCATCATAATGGACTTGCTGCAACTCTTGCGTACTGCTGCCAGAAGAATGGCCAGGGCTGGTAGAGCACTCTTTAGCAGCTGCATACTTACATTCCTCCTGTATGGCAGCGGACTCTTCAAGGGTGAAGTAAACACTGGCGGCACCCTCTTCACGCAAAGTGCGCACCGACTGCAGCAGCCGATTGCGGTGAGATGGGTTAAACACGCCAATAGCATCCAGGTCAGGATCACCGACCTGTTTGCATATCTCCAGGTCGTCGTAGCCATTATCCAGGAACGAGTCGGAGTACTGGCCCAGGTGGAGGGACCGGAGCCACTCGACTACGATGTTGCTGCCGTTTTTGGAGGACATTGGATGACGCCGCGGTGTTAACGCGTGTACCGTTTCGGCTCTGAAGACGGTCGCGGGAGCAGTAGTCGTCGTCGTCTCCGTCGCCGTCGTCGTCGTGCGGTCAACGCGAACGGCTCAAGACGGCACATAGCTACGTACGGCCATGCGAACGCAATAACGAGAGGATAATCGGGCGAAAACGCGGAACAAGAGGCACAGGGTCTCGTAGAATAACGCTGCGAAATGTTAATGAACACCAAAGACGGTCTGGCACAAACCTTGAGCTGGTGCCGTGGTCACGGTGAACTTTACGCGGATTCTGTGCGGTTAACACTGCACAACTAACTGCAGCGGCCTAAGTGCGATAACAACGCGTGCGGCCTAATCTCATTCTACCGGAGGACATATTGACATTCTCATTGCGGTACCGACTTACACCACGAGAGGCCGTTAATGTCGACCACAGCCGTGGCCGCCGGTACATTGGCTAATAAAACATACCCTCTATATAACAGCTCTCGTTATCAACATACACTATCCTCACCGCGCCCTTGTACGATGATCGTTCGAGTGCGACGCGACGCCGTCGTGCAGTGCGCGCCGGTTTCCGTTACCCTCCGCCGTCACGTTAATCACATTTCCATCGACGTCGACGACGACGACCTTTCGCCATTCCGGGCCGCCGACCCTCTTCGCCGCGGATAACCCTTTAAATCGAATACTGCTCACGCGGGGAGGACTAACCCAAGGGGCATTACGCGTACACAATTACCATAGGCGTAACCGAAGTAGGCACGAGACACCCCCTCCCGTCCACCATATTCGAAATTGTGCGATAGGTAAGTATCTATACGCGTGTTCGCGCGACATTTTCTTCGACGACGTAAAAATACCTATCACGGAATTATTACGGTTTTTTTCGTTCAATATTTTTTCCTTTTTTTTTGTAAACGGAGAATGTACCCACCGCGAAACTAAACGTCACCGACCCGAATTGGAGTTTTTATTATTCCCGTGTTCTACTTGCATTATTTATAAATTATATAAGAGAAAAATAAAATTATACCTGCGACGACCATAGAAATATATACAAGATATAAATTTTATAGATAAAGAATAGTATGCAAACAATAGCAGAAATATGCAGCAAATCTGATTAAATGAACTTGTGGGTTATTTATTTGAAAAAAAAATGTTTTATACGTAAAACATTTTTAATTAATACATCTCAGTATATTCTATATGTATACACATCGATTATTGTTAATACATTAGAAACATTATTGCACATCATATACACTTCGGTTTCCTATTTAATTAAATTTGTTCGTGCGTAATTTATTATGCGTAAATGGTAATGTACTTATGTACCTACCTACAAAATGGTTGTACGTATAATCAAAAACGTGACTTTATTTTTAATTTTTTTCTTACGCTATTATTACACAATCGATTTTGGCGATTGCAAGTATACAATTATCATGTTTGGAAATTTGTTCATTAAATATACATAATATTCTATTATACCAACTCTATAATATATATATTTACGACTAAAAGAATATGTATACACTTTATTCAACCAATTATAAACTAAAAAAGTTATATAATATTTTATAAATTACTGGAATTCTTTAATATTTCAGAACTTACCAACAAGGCATGTAGCCAGAAAATGTCTATTAGGGAAACCATTAATTTTAGGTCTTTGTATTATTTTTCATAATTTGTTTTCTATGAGAAACTTATAGATCTTATAAAGGTCATTATTTGACCATAGTTGATATTTAACATAATCTTATGATTTACTGTGAATAGATAAAATTGAATATAATAATAACTAAATTATATTTAAGTTATATAATAATCGAAATCATAATAAAATGTATTAAATGTACATGTTTTTGATACTTAGTAAAAAAAATTGTTACATGGATTTTGGAAGGCTCCTCTCTGGCTACGTGCCTGTTACCAACGGAACAGTTAATAGTACTTATTTTGATTATTTTTTAGTGTGTATATTGTGAGTCAGTAACGATTTACCAGGAAAGCAACGAAGACCCTTGAATATAAAGAGAAATATTGCTCAAATTATAAGATTGTAAAATATTAGCAAAAAAATCTGGTAAAAATTCATAAACACAAACTAAACAAAATGAGTCATTATTTTGAGTAAATTTAACAAAATAAATGATCGTTTAATTTTAACATGTTCTATGAAAAACATTTTATACTACAATACTACAAACTCAACTACTATATTTTGATGATAATAATAAAAGAGGTCATCGTAAAAGAAAAATTTATAATCATAATATTTATAAGAAATTATTTTGGTTGATTTCGATTTCAAATACATATTAAAAGAAAACATATACCTATACTTAAATTATAAAATACCTATAATAAATCATATAATTGAGGACATGAATTAAAAAATTGAGTCAAATCTACAACTCACGATATACGCGACTATAAAAGTAGTATATGTTTCAAGTTCTAGGTTTAGTTGTAAGCTATAATTTATAGCTAATACAATTTAATCATATGCTACATTTAAATACAAATACTTTTTTTTAATGACATTTCTTGGTCAACCATTCAATATTTTTTTAATCTATTTATTACTCCTAATACCTCATTGCCAGAATTTTATCCCAGTCGACATAAACTTTTTATCGTACGGCTATATAATATTATATTTATATACATGTAAGATAATTTTAAACCAAAAGTTTTGCAAAAATCTTCCTCTTAGCCAATAACACTTTAATGGAAACTGTAATAATACTTTTATACGATTTTAAGAAGCTTCTGATAGTATTTGGTTAGAAAACTGTTTAAAATTGACGATGAATCGCGTTTTAACTCTATTATGTTATTACAATAAATACGTGCACTGAATAGTAAATAATAGAAATTGACTCTTGTTGGATTCAAAATATAAGTATAGTTTATACCAAATAGCTACAATATAAATAACTTGAGAGAACCCACAAGATTGCCTTTATTGAAATGTATATACAACTTTTTTTTACCTCACCGTTTCAAAATTACATTTATCAATAAAAGTATTGGACAAAAAAAGTTGTTATACAATTATGTATAAAACAAAAGATTGCCTTAGATCCCTAGCAATTTTAAATACTACAGTGTTCGTGTTAATAAGTGTGCATTTTCATAAACTAACATATTTGATGAAAAACTATATTTATTATGATAATGAGTTTTAATAATTAACGACGTGACGCGTTCAATTATTACTATTATTATTTATATAAGTCAATTATTACACTAGTATATATCATATGAAAAACTGACAAGTTCAAATGTTAGCACTTCCTATAATCAATTCGAAAATAACAATATTGTACATAGATATAGGTAATAAGTGTATTTATCTAACCGATTAAGTATGATTAATAATTTGCATTTACCTAACCTACTAAGTATAATTTATAACTTTTTATTACAACAGTTACCCAAAAGGAAATGTTATTTTATTTGAAAAATTAATAAGGCATTTTCAGTATAATTTGGCTTTTGCTAATATTCATCATTGGCCATGAGATGTATCAAATTTTATCCGATAATACATTTTATTGATAAAATATCAATATTAAAAAAAAATTATCTATTTTAAAACGTTTTGGTATTTTACACTCTAACTTTTTGTATGATGAAAATGAGAAATTTAAAATATAATTCTTAAAATCCGATCAGAAACCCATATCATTTTCTACATTTTTAAAAAAACATATACGGAGTGTAATATAAAACAATTGACCGATATGGCCGTACCTATAAAGCTCCATATATATATATATATAAGTAAATAATTATTATTTTTGTAACTACGTGTGGTGTATATACACATATACTTGTAGAAGGGGTGATTCCGAAACAGTATAGTTCTTACCTACAAACGTGAATATAACAAAACTACGGTGAAAGTATATACCTATATATAATACCCATAGATATATAGTCGCTTGGTATGTAAAGGTCATTTATTACTTAATAAAACACGGTTTCGAAAATTCGAATTAACCGGAAACGCATTCCTTAAGGGTTCAGGTTCACTGAAGCCTGACCATTAACACATTTACGTGGTGCTCAAACTACTTACAAAGGCTTATATGTAAATATTATTCAATCGGTCCGTTCGGCTATTTACATTTAGTTCATGAAATCAATTTTGTGGTTCTTCAAGTATACTTTTTATTCATAGAGTAATGCGATTTAAGTTTAATCATTAAACATAACTGTATTATGAGATGTTAAAATAAAGGTAATTTGTAAATATACAATTTCCTGACGTCTCATATCGCCTATTACTTTCCGACAAAACCAAGAACACTTCACTATTGTAAATGTCTATAGTATATAGTTGGTATATTATATAAAACGAAAGATTAAGACTTCGTTTCAACAAATACTAATAATGTATAATTTTCTAATCTACACAAAAAATTTCATTCGCTGTGATGAAAATGATTTTTTAAAATAAAGACCATAATGTGTCTAATGTTTTTTTCCCATAATGACAAAAAGGCGTATAAGTATGCTACACAACTGCGAATGAAATACCGGAAATAAAATATAAAACATTTTTTTTTTTACTGTAGACACAACAAATGCGAGACTCATTATATCTTATATCACTTGATTTTTGTGATGAATGCTTTTAAATACATTGCACTAAATTACTAATACAACAATAATGTAAATAATATAAATAATACAATAATATTGTAATTTCATAGCTAGACGAAAATAAACTAATCTTTTAATAAATAATAAGATCAGTATATGTAATATAGATGCAGTCACTGTACAAATTTCGATTTTAATAATCGATTAAAATTATAACTGAACCACACTTTAGCATTATTTTGTGTTGCTTTAATAATACTCGAAACTAATAATTATAGTAATGATGTTTAACCTTTTTTCCTTGGCAGACCATATTTATAAACAATTATCTTAGAGCGGCCGTCAAATATAAAAGTAGGTACGAATAATATCAATATTAATCTAATAATGTTATTTTGTTACACATAGTAAGTATACAATACACATATAAGTACATATGAGTTTTCAAAGTTTTTATTGACTATTGAAAAAATTACAGATTGAAGTACATACTGTAGGTATACATTATTTAATCATTACACTCTTTAAATACACGGGTTATATCAAGAAATTCCTATTTCAAAATGTTCAAAAATAAAATGAATACATTTTAAAAAAATCGTATTTTATAATAATTTTACTATTTTTTTAATATTTTGTTTATTTTAAAAAAAATTGTAACGGACCACATTGAATACTTTCTTAAGCCACATGTGACCCATGGGCCGCAGGTTGGGCACCACTGAAACGTAGTAACAAAAACAAATAAAATATAAATAATATTGATTGTTGTGGTGAATACATATATGAATATATGTTGTGTATCCACCTAAAATCAATAGATTATTAATTATTTAAGTTTAATAGCCAGTTTCGGTCTGGCCCACCCGGATACCCGGTAATTGCCGAAGCCTTAAGATTTATTCTTAAAATAGGAGCCCAACCAAGGGTGGACCCACAGTTAGGGAATTGTGAGTCAGGCTATTTCAAGAGGTCACTTATTAGAGCTGAAAGTGGATAATAAATGAATTTCAAGAAACAAAAAAAAAACAATGTGTTCATATAACATTTGTTTTTTAAGTTTATTCATAATTATCATTGTAAACATTTATCTTATTTTATGAAATCTTACATGGGCTTTGGCATAGAGATGTTTTATTTTACTATACAATTAAATTAATGGCATCCACTGTGGTGGTGAGGG